ATATATATATATATATATATATATATATTTCAATTCGAATTGTACAAATAGTCTCTATGTATATTCTTAATTTGTTGAGCGTCAGTAAGTATATCCCAAGATACACACTCAGGCGGCATTATATTAATTGTTTTTATGCAGTCCTGCGATGCATCATTGTTGTTGGAAACAGCAAACGGAATTGAATCGGAGCAGGAATCTGATAGGAGTTTTGGGATGAGAAATTTCAAGTATGTCGGAACCATCAAAGAGGCCCTGGAGAAAGAATGCCCCATGACAGTTTCTTGTGCTGATACTGTTGCTCTTTCAGCTAGAGACGGAATTGTCATGGTAGTTCCTCATCAATTCCTCTCCTCCCTTATCAAAACACATTAAATATAAAAGTAGATATTTCTTTATATTTATTAAAAATAATTATGTTTTGACTTAAAAAGTTATGATAAATCTTAATTATTAAAAGTGAAATAGATGAATTGTTGAAATTTTAAACAAATATAGTGTATAAATTTGTGTATAAAGAAATTTTTCATTTAAATATGATTTGATTATATGAAAAAAAAAAAAAAAAAAACTGAACTTTACAGCTAGGAGGACCACGCATTGAAATGAAAACTGGCCGGAGAGATAGCCGGGAAAGTTACCTGACGGAGGTAGAAACAGCCCTCCCTAATCACAACGACTCAATGTCATCTGTACTATCTACTTTTCAATCCATTGGCATCGACACTGAAGGAACTGTTGCACTGTTAGGTAAAAATAATTTTTTAAAACCAAAAGTTAGCTATTTAACGTTGTAGTAGTTTAAATTTTGAAGCCAAAAATAAGGTACATTTATCTATAGGGGCACATTCCGTGGGACGAGTCCACTGTGTCAACTTAGTTCACAGGCTCTACCCCACTGTTGATCCAACACTGGACCCTGATTATGCTGAGTACCTGAAGGGAAGGTGTCCTACGCCGGATCCTGACCCAAAAGCGGTGCTGTACGCTAGGAACGACCTCGAAACGCCCATGATTCTTGACAATTTCTACTACAAGCACTTGTTAGAACACAAAGGACTGCTCTTAGTGGACCAGGAGCTGGCTTCTGATCCACTTACATCTCCTTTTGTGGAGAAGATGGCCGCCGATAATGGGTATTTCCACGACCAATTTGCCAGGGCCATTTTTTTGTTGTCGGAAAACAATCCGCTCACCGGCGATCAAGGAGAAATTAGGAAGGATTGTCGTTATGTCAATCAATTGGATTCCTAATTAAGAAAACAAATTAACTACCTTGCCATCATGTTACGCAACAATTCTCCCGTTTTGGATATTTTGGGCCGCATGGGCCCCAATCCTTGTACTAGTTTCAACATTAAATAACAAAGCTCCAATCTCCAGAGCAGAATCACAGCCCAAGAACCGTCTGCGTACTCCTCCTTTTTCCCTTTCTTCTTCTTCTTCTTCGTTTTATTTTTTATTTTTAACTGCATAATGGTTGGCTCCAATATTAAAGTTCGTCCCCCATCAATATTTAAGTGAAATATAGTTCGTGCAAAATCCTTTCCATAGTATTAATCTTTTAAACTCTAATACTTTCTTGTGTTAGATACAATTTCGATTTGATTCTTGCTATCATGAGTACGTTGCCATTGTTATCACGAGGATCATATTAGTGTTGAGGATTTTGACTATAATCACTTCATTATCTATTTTAACTTATTTGGTTAAGGGCAATCATTGTAATGTGGTTGCATGCTGCAGGGTTACAATTTAAGTCCTCTGCAACTACATTACTCATCCCCTATTTGCACTTGTGACACAAGTGAGCAAACTTGATTCAAGGGTTTTATAGCAAAAAAAATTAAAAATAAAACATCCTTCTTCTTTTTAACAAGAAAAATACAATTTTTCAATTTGAACTGCATACAATTTGAGCCTTAAAAAGTATTGATATATCATTAATGATTCTTCCAATATGCTGATTCATTAAGAGTTAAAAAAGGATTCTATTAACTGTGTTCTTGTTTTTTTATTAGATGAGTTTAGAATTCAAGAGCATAGTACTAGATGAGAAGATGGCCAAAATAATCAAGGAATGGCATGTAGGGGTGAGGGATAGAAGGAAGAAATAGGAACAATTTCTCCAATATGCTCGGACTTCTTTGTCCATTGACTGGAGCTCAAGAAGGCGTAATAGAGGAGAAATCATAGAGGAACAAGATCAGATAGTGAAAGAAGAGGTCTCAACCTCATCTTTAGCTCCATCTTGCCTTGTCAAGATAGAATTGCCCGTATTGAGGAGAGAGTAGATTGCGTAGTGTAGGAATCCATACCCAGTTGGAAAACATCATACTACCCAAGTGTTTGTATAAATGCTTCTCAGGAAAAAAAAATGGTATTTCTATTTTTTGTATGAGGTTGTACATATTGAAAAGGTCTAAGAAATGGCATCCACATTAAAGATGGGGTCAAGATAGTGATTTAGCATGTAAAAAGATGTGAAGTTGGATGAATCCATTGTGAAGACCACAATCTTCTTTGTCCATGGTTCTAGTTCCAACTTTCAATATTCCTTTACTTTTAGCCTTTTATTTATTAATTCTCTACCACCACAAAACCCCCTTTGCATTTTCAAGAATCCCCTGTACCCTAACTCTTTCCCCTTCTCTTTTTTCCCTCTCCATCAATGGTAGACATAAGTATCCTTGGAACCATGGACCGTCTTTGGTTTCACCAAATTATTTTTTTCCCAAAATCCACTTCATAGGATGTCACCAAAACCCTTGGATCTCAGAACAGCTTTTAAGTCCAACACCAAGCATTTGTGTATTATCTCTTCATGAAGCAGAAATTTCAAAAACTGTTTCACTGCTCGAAGAAGATGTTAGCTCAGAGAATTCATCACTAGTAACAAAAACAAATATATAGCTTATTACTTTCTTTAACTTTCTTTGTTTTCTTCTTCTACTAACTTTGTTTTTCTATGGTGCAATATCAAGGATGATTCTAGTAAGGAAGATTCAATCATCAAGGAAAAGAAAATACCAAGGAGATTGAGCGTTGGGATAAGTAAGAGTCAATTGCTTTCTTTTTCACCATCAACATAGAAACATCAGAAAAATCACAGATACTCAGGTAATTTAGAGACTAAACTGCAAAAATCAATGAGCTATAGGAGCTTAATAGATTTGAAACTTGAAGAAGAAAAAGGGTTCATGGATCTTGGCTTCATATTCAAGAAAGAGCACTTGAACCAATAAATAATGAAGGTAATCCCAGGCCTTCAAAAACTTGGATTTCATAAAAACAATGATACTAATTAACACAGAACACACTAAGAAGGATGATGAAGAAGATGATACTATAGGAGGAAGAGGAAGGAGGTGTAACGAGACCATACTTATCAAACGCTTGGCTAATAAATTAAAGAGACTTAATTCTCCTTTATTGAATCTGAAGTTGCCAAGGGAGATGGCAACTTCGGATATGAAGAAACATCTCAGGTTTTGGGCTAGAACTGTTGCA